ATTTTAAATAAAACCAGCCTCCCGCCTCTTCATGGGAACAGTATTAGGAAGAGCCAGCTTGGGAGAAAATGGCACACTTGATATCCAAAGCTTGTTTTCAGAAGACTTGCCATAAAAAGATTGGGGCAGATCCTGACAAGGATTGCCAGCTCTTGTGGGCTTGTACAGAACTTTGCACAAGCACCCCATGCATTTCATCAGTATTAAAAAAGCATAACTATTTTCTGTGAGTTTTCTGCAGAAAAATACTGTATTTCAGTCTTAGTTCATTTCCCAGACCTCACTAGATACCCCCAGCTTCCAAAGCCAGCTGTCCTTCTTCCCAGCCATTTCCCTGGAAACTCTTGTTTGGTGTTAGGTAAGACCTGTAGCAATCACAGGAAAGGGGTGCTGATGCCAACAGTTCCCAGCAAGAGTAGGGCAGGTGTTTGGAATGCCAAGCAAGCAAGTGTGCACTAAATGAGCAAGCTAGTATGGAGGAGTGGCAAAAAGAGCACACGGGACCCACAGCACTGGTCTCTTTGTCTGAGCCGGGAGCAGCTGTGTATACCCAGGATTAGTGCTGGGCACAGTAATGAGCTCTCAGTGGTCACAGAGATCAGTCACACCAAAGAGGATGGATGTGTTACAAATTTTCTGGGTTAGAACTAGCAGTGGAGCTGGTACAGGCAGGGGAAAGGAGGCAGGGCAAGGTTTATAAAATGAAAGAAAGTACACATTGAGTATGAGTGCCTGAAGATGAAAATTGGTAATGAGGGAAAGGAAACCATAGGTACTGGAGTCCAAGTCTGGCTTCAGAACCCACTGAAGAAATGTGCCAACACATTTACACCAGCCTCCATTTGGACTCACCCTGAGCCCACATGCAGCACAACGTAAAGGAACATGTGGATCACCGTGACAGTGTATGCACATGGGAAGAAAAAAGCTCCTTCTGCCAAATAAGTGCAGATGGAAAAAAAATCTAATTGTTCTTTCTGGAAATACTCTAGTAATCTGGACTCCACCTAAGCGTAACCTCTGGAAGAAAAAATTTAGTCCCCTCCCCAGTGAAATTACTGCTAGAGAAGTGAGTCTCTGACATTGCAGAGTATCAGGCTGCGAATCTGCTTAGGGGACTTAATACTTCTCTGACAGAAACAGAAAAACAAACAGAAGCATAAAAATTTTAACAGACTATCTCACTTATAAGGAATCTAGAATGATCATCTAGTCCAACTACCTGACCAGTTCAGGGCTGACCAAAAATTAAATCGTGTTGTTAAGGGCATTGTCCAAATGCCTCTTGCACACTGATAGGCTTGGGACATTGACCACCTTTCTAGGAAGCCTGTTCCAGTGTTTGACTACCCTTTTGGTAAGAAAATGCTTCCTAATGTCCAGTCTGAACCTCCTCTGGTGTGTCTTTGAACCATTCCCATGCATCCTATCACTGTATCCCAAGAAGAAGAGATCAGCACCTCCCTCTCCACTTGCCCTCCTCAGGAAGTGGCAGGGAGTGATGAGGTCACGCCTCAATCTCCTTTTCTCCAAACTAGACATGCCCAAAGTCCTCAGCCTCTCCTCACAGGATATGCCTTCCAACCCTTTCACCAGCTTTGCGGTCCTCTTCTGGACACATTCAAGGACCTTCACATCCTTCTTACATTGTGGTGCCCAGAACTGCACGGAGTACTCAAGGTGAGGCTGCACCAATGCTGAATTTGGAAACTCAGGTGTCCAAGTACCACTTTTGGTACTCATCTGTGTTGCAAGGGCAGCATCTCTTGCAACATCTCTCATGGTATTGCTAATATTAGTCTTGTGTACAGATAGCAAACGGAGGTGGAGGGGAAGCTGTTGTCCCTTGCCGAACCATCCCTTTCTTGGATTCAGGCCAGAATCAGTACTAGTCTCCCATGGCCTCTCCACCACTCCAGAGTCAGAAAAAATGTCTTTTCCTGTACTTCAGTGGGAAGGAATTGGATAAAGCAACAGAGAAACATCATTTGGCGTGACACTGCAGTGAAGGTACTTCCCCTACACTAGCTGTTCTGGTGTCCAGAGAACAGTGGGTGCTTACTTCATAAGTTGACTCTTTTACACAACTTTGGCCTAGCAGTGGGGCACAGATCATAGTCATGAATAGCTCTGTGGTTCTTTATCCTAAAGAGATGATTATGGTGCCTTAACTCTAATCCTTTAATGGAAATTATGCTCAGTTTTGCATTTCACCTAAGTACAATGGGTGAGAGGAAAAAAAATGTCTGGAGCAAACCGGTGTCTTCCTAAGGGCAGAGGGTTTTTTAAAATGGTTTCTTGGATGAAAATGGTAAAGATCTATACAAAATGTTTAATGGACAATTTGCTTTGACCATGAGGTCTCCTGGGGAAGCATTGTGCAGAGTTGTATCCATTCCCTATCCCACAACCCTGAGCACATTCAAAGCTGAGCAGTACTACTGAAAGGTGTTAGTACACTCGTGCTTATGCAGCAAAATCTGAGGCCAGCACTGTACTTGGCTAGAAGAAAGAGATCACTTCTTCACTGTCACATACTCTGCACAAGCAGACACAAAGAATAATTTAAAATAGCTTTCCTTTGTCAAAAGGCAGACCTGATGGGACATACAGCTAGGAAAAGTTGCATAAAGTATGGTCCCTAGAAGTACAGAGGAAAAATGTGACCATCACCCAGTATTTATACAAGAGATAAACCATGATTACAGTACTCTACTTACAAGATACTCTCAGTATCTTTCTCTGCATTTACTTTTTGATTGACATTTCTTAATTGGGGAAGTGAACACAAGAGTATAGCCAAAGATACTGTGTGCAATTAATTTAATAGCATTATAGAACAATAAATCCACTCTTTAATCCACTCTTTAAGAACTTGGTTAATCAGTATATTTCTTGAACCAAAGAGAAACCCACAGACTCCAAAAAACCAAAATCTTCCACAGGAGCAAGTTTAAAAGTAGAACATGTTACATCTTTTAGATTGTTGTCATTAAACAATGTTTCAGTAGACAAAAAAAAAAAAAAGATTGGAAACTAATATTTTGGTCATAAAATAAAAATTATTTCTTTAAAACAACTATAGCAAATATTCCCTGAGAATTAAGAATCAGCAACAACTATTGCCAGATTGTTTTTTTTCTGTTACAGTGCAGAAATGTTACAGCGCATTCTCTCCATTCAAAGACCACGCAGGAAGACTAAAGGCCACAGTTTTTATTTACTGTGTGCATCTTCTGGATGTGCTCATCTTTCAAGAGAATTAAATCTGGATGCAGCAACCCTCAGCACTGAAGCTAACTAGACATGAGGGGAGAGAAGGCAGTTGAGGAAAGGTTTAATCTATGTGCTAAGTGTGCATGTTCAGAATTCCATTATTTTTTCCCCTGCACTAGGTTTTCTAAATTTTCCCTTCCAACTATGTTATGGCAGCATTCTGGAATATCCCACTCCCTCTGTCCCCCCAGAAACATGCATATAAAATACACACCCACCACCAAAATGTTCCAGTTTGACAAGTAAGCTGAAGTCAAAGCAGAAAAGTGAGATAAAACAGAAGAGTGGAGTAACTATTGAAGTTGAAATAATCAATTTTAATGCCTGAAATTAGATTTTATGGCCCATGGTACTGCTGAAAGCTGCATGCAGCACAGCTTTATTGCTGCATTATTCCTCAGCACAAAGAATTAAAGTGCAGTAAATGTTGGGGATTTGGTGCAGCACAATGTTACAAAAAAAAAGAAAATCAACTTTTTGTTATTAATTCAGCTCAAAAAGATGGTATTTTGGGGGCAGTTTATACTGACTCAGAAAAATACAAGATCCTATTGGGATCCAAATTATCTGTTGTAGAAGAAAGTTTCTCCCTGTCCTGTCCTATACATCAAATCAATATATGAATGTCTCCCTGTGGATACCTGCTAGTTCCCCAGCTCCTTCCCCAAGATAGAAGAATCATTCTTTCCCTGCAACTTCAGGTCTTAGCTCTGCTGCATTCTTCCTTTCATTGCTTCAAAGCATCCAGCAGATCTGGAAGTGTCTGCTATTGCTTGATCTATGAGTGGTGCAACCCAGAAGTGTACAGCATTCATTAACAGCAGACTATGAAAACCTGACCAAAGATCTGCAAAGACCTGACCTGCAAAGAGTCTTTTGATGGTAATGATAGTTGACGTGGGTTAACAGCAGAAGGGAGACGGCTTTAAGAAGGTAAAAAAAAAAAAAAAAAGGCTAACAGTAAACCAGGAGAGAAGCCTAACATATACCAATGAGCACTGCAGTACTACCACAGTTGGATCCTAAAAGACTATTCAAAGGTGACTGGGGAAGCGTAACAAGTGAACATCTCTATTTGCCCGAGAAAACTTAGATGAAAATACCAGCATGTGGGCTGAGAACTCAAAACGGGAATGCGAAGTATTCAACGTACCTATAACATGTTGGGTATATTATAATATGTGTAATAGTTTGGCCATGCTGGATCTGCTATGTTTATGTCATGTAGTTCATCTGCATATATATATATATATATATATAGGTTCAGTTGGTCTGGACATCAGCTCTCCCTTTGGCTGAGCTGTCAGCGGTCCAGAAACACTGAATATATGGTCACGTTCCTCTTCTACTTCTTGGAAAAACTTCCTAAATGAAAATAAAAGACAAGTCTAATAGAAGAGATGGCTGCCCTATCTCTAAATCTTGAGGACTGTCATCCAATTAGTTTTGTATATATTTCATTTTTTTCCTAAGCATTTTCTCTATTATCGGAGTATCTTTCTAAATAACTTCATCAACCGTTTTACTCAAGAAGATCTAACAGAAAAAATATATGAAAATAATCTTTATCATCTTTTTGAAGCAGCAATCAGAAAGGTCAAATGAATCAGCTGGCTATAAACTACGACATTTACTGTCGATCAAGAGTATTCATCATATTGCAAAAGAAAATAATGCAACATGAGTCACAGCAAAACATATAAATGCATCTGAGTGATACAAACTTTACAGTGAAAAAAGCCTTTATTTTCTTTTCTTTTTTCCCCCCCTTTCTTTTCTTTTCTACAGTGACATAATCAAAATACACTGCCAGTTACTTTTATTCTTTATAACGAACAAGAAGATTCAGGCCTCTGCTCTCATCATTAGCCAGACAGATCACAAAACTGCATTGGTGATTTGACTCTAAAGACACCACTCATATCCTGCTATGGCCACTCTTCAGCCATTCAGTGGCTGTTGAACATTTTGCTAGTTCAAATACTACCCGTACAGTAAACCAAGCCCTAAAATCTCCACATGTTTAAGTGCACAACACTCCATTCAAGTAGTTTTACTTAAAAAGAGACACTAAGATTAGTGATACAGTTGACACTTTAGCACAAGTCTGAAAGAGAGAAAGGTTCCTGGTGTGTGAGATCATCACTTTTCCTCTAAACAGGAACTGCCAGACATGATGGAGTATAGATCTTGACCAGTTCGTCCCAAGCACAGTCCACCACCTACAAAGCAAACGAATTCTGTTTAGATCCTTCATAAGTGCCATTTTTACAAAAAACAGAGGGAACTTAGAAGAATTTAATGCATATTGTGGAGTTAATACCAGTCAGTACTCTGATTTACAATGCTTCAAAATTATATAATAATGAGATGGGTTTTGTTTTGTTTTTTTAAAACTTTGTCTTAACTTTACAAAGATGCATGAAAATTAACAACTTCCTCTTTTTCATACTCCTCATGAGGAAAGCTGGGAAATCTTTGGGTTTGAACTGATTATTCCAAATAGGCTAAAGAACATACCTGAGAATTAAATTAAGGAAGGACACACAAAAGTCCAGACCTTGTCATACTTCTTCTTTTTACAGAGTCTCAGGATACTTTTACCATGATATCTATAAACAGTTCATGAGCAGATCTGAACAACTTTCTTACACTTACGGGTACAGAAATTTATTACAGACATTTTCCTAATGGACTGTTGAGGAATGGAGAAACAAAGACATTCAACTAAATCATACAGGAAGTTTCCTGAAGAATTAAGCCAGAATTTCAGTCTCACACTTGATAAGCTATGAGATCACTGTACTGTCTTTTGCTGAGATGAGAGATGTCTATTTGCTGAGCATTGAGATTTGGAGGCCTCACTTTAGAGTCTGTAACAAAGTGAAAGGGTTAACCACACTGACAATTACTCAAAAAGATGACCTATAATATATATTCACAAAATATTGCGGGAGACAAGAACTAAGGCAAAGAGAAGAAGAAAGAGAAGAGTTAAAGAGAAAAAGCTGATGAGGTCCACAAATATACTCCAGTAAATCTGGTTGAATCCATATTGCATTATCTTTACAATGTCATTTCCAGTTGGGATCACAAAAGATACAGTATTGGATCCTCTGCACAACAAGCTTCCTTCTGCTATAGACTGCAATTCCTGTTCTCTTCTAGAGCCAGAATGAACAGCTGCACACTAAAAATTTGGAAATCCATCTACAATATTTGATTTCAGACTATAATTAGCCCATTTTATGTTTACTATACTGCACTATTATTCATTTCTACTGCTTCCTTAGCTGGTTCTACTTAGTTATTTGAAGTACTTTCCACATACATCTAAATGGGTCAAAAAAACTCTTGACAACGTGTCTGTCTATTCATATGACATAATAGAGCTTTCTGTAGCATAATGTTCTGCTGCATTGCAGTCTCCCAAATAATACCAAAAAGAAAATTTGTGTTCTCCACTAAATGCTGTATAGAAACTGGCAATCACATAAACTTCAGGTTTTTTACTATTCTCCATAGCTATAGATCAATGTCTGTATTTCTATAGGCAATACTTTTTACTTTCATAAAGAAACAAGAAACAGAAATAACATTTGGAAAAATCCCATGGGAATTCCCACCTGTTATCAAAGTAATTAGCATCCCTGAAACAGCCTCTGAACAAGTATAGTTACCGAACCTTTTAATCTAGCAGCACTAAAAATAAACAGGGGATACTAAAGGGGAGTTTGAAAAGGATCACTTGTGGTAAGCTGCCCAACTCATTGACTTGATGGTGAAAGGTGAAAACATGAAAGGAGAAAACAGCCACGCAACAAAAGGAAAATAAAAGCTACAGCAAATAACAGTGAATCAAGTTCTCCTGTGCAGCAGGAAGCCTGTAATGAAATACTGATATCAGAAACCTTGATGAAAATACACATGCGAAGAACAGCAAACAGGTACCTATGGAAAACTGGGACACTACAGCATGGAACAGCATTACAAAATGTAATAGCATTTCCATTTCTCCATACTTCCTTCAAAATACAGCCAAGACTGTCAGAAAAAGGGGACAACTGTAACCTAAGAGTGTAGCAGCCAGCATTCACTGATGGACAGCTGCTACGTGCCCCTTTGCAGTATCTCACAGATTATCACTGCCTCAAATACGAACAACTAAGATGAATCCTGAGATAAAGAGAAGTCCCTGTTCATGCAGCTATTGCATCAGTTTACAAAATGTCTTCCTTCATTTTGTCTTATGACATATCTTATACAGTGGTCTTATGACTGCTGTGTGCCTTTCCCCAGAACAGGGGAACGTAGGATGTGGAATATAAGTGGTTTAAAAGTATTTACAAATGTCAGATCTAATGAGACGTGAACATTTTTAATATACTTTAAAGCACTTTAGCCTTTTTTTTTTTTTAATAAACTAAATATTAAAATAGGGATAGAAATTACACTGACACGAGAGCTGATCCAGCACACTACAGTAAATAAACATGACATACAAAAAGCTGCAATTTCCTAGAGTTTATATTTTGATCAATGAGGTAATGTTACTAACAGGTGAAGAAAATCTTCCTGTGGCAGGATGAAGGACAAAGGAAAACTGAAATTGGACTCACATTTTATTTGCCTACCTGACAGAAGTCCTCAGCGTTAGGAGCATAAAGGCATGGAGGTCTGTCTTTCTGTAAAAATGTCTGCTGCCTTAGGGACAAATTTTACTCTCAGATTCAAACAAATCTCACTGACTTCAGTTTTTAGAAGGTGCACGATTTTTTTTTTTTTCAAACTGACATGCTAGTAGAGGACAGTTTATTTCAGCTGCAAAGAACTGTATAAACTGTCATATTCTTGTATTACTGACTATTTTGCATGGCATGTTTTGTATGCCATGCAATTTTCATTATCATTTATGAAAACTGAATTGGTCTTGTATCAAGCTATAGAATGTAATTCTCTATAGCAACTTTCAACTACCATAAATTACAGGGAAAAGGAAAATAACTGGAGTTTAACTGTAAAACAAGAATATTTTATGTTACACTGATTGGTAAACCACATCAAGAAATAATGCAAATAGAAAAAGCATTCTAAACCTGGTAATTTTCATTGTAACTAAAGCTATTTGTGACAAAGGCAGCCTAAGAAAATGACTTTTATCTTTAATGCTTTTATTTTAGTAGCAAATTTGCAGTATTAGCATATACACTAAAGGTACTGTATGGTTATTACTGCAGAGTACATATCATGTCAATTTGTCTGCCAGTAGAGATGAGGACCACTGTATTTCTCTTCAAGTAAAGCCAAAAAGCAAGTACACAAATGAAAACCTGCAGTCGTCACAGGAAGATGATTGCTTGACTAAAAAATCATAGTTTAACTCAACTAAAACAGTTATCCTGTATTTTATTGAAGTGTTTATCCTTGTCCCAGAATATAACAATGTTTTCCACCAACTGATCTAATACAGACACCCATTCATATATCAGAGTCATTTCCATTCACTAACTGATTTAATCCCTCGACAGGCTCTCTGTTTTCTATTCTCGCAATCATCTTGCCTTGCAATAGACTTAGACCTTTTCCAGCATCCCAGGGCAATCCATTCAGTGTAGTGCAATTACCTGCATAACATTCTGCCTCTTTACTGCTCAGAAGCAAGAGAACAAGAGAAAACTCCGAAGTTAGCTACTAACTTTTTTTTAAGTATTTGAAGGCGTACTAAATCTCCACGCCCTAACCAAGATTAAATACATTCAAAATAACAACTAATAATTTAAAGAGTTCAGTTACGCCTTTATCAGAACAGGAACAAAGAAGAGGTTTAATCAGAACAAAGTACAGCCCTCTCTAGATTAATATTTCCAGAACTAATGCGGCTTTCAGAGTGCTCATAATAAATCGTACAATAATACGTAAATGTGCCTGAGAGTGATCCATTTCTCAGCTCTTCCCCATCCTATTTTCAAATAAAACTAATAAGACCTGTCTTTTTTTTTTTTTAGTCTGTAGAAAAGACAATAGAAAAATTATTCAGTTCTTTACTTCCATTAATGTTGTGTTTCCCTTCCTCTTTTAGTTTCTCATCTTCTGTGTCTTCTCAAACAGAATTTAACGGTCTATTTATATCATTATTATGTATTTTTGAGGCATCCTGAGCATCCTCTAAGCGAGTGGGATGGAGATTAAGGGGAGATAAAACAAGCTATTAGGTTTGCTACTCATCAAATTACTTTCACAGGTGAACATTAAAACTGATTGGTCAAGTGCATAATGGATCATGCATGATCCACTAAATTCATTCAATACCTATTTTGGTCTAGAAAATCTGAACCACTGCTGTGGCCTGTTTGGTTAACACTTGCCAGGGTGAACTGCATATGATGTTAACCTTTACACAGGAGTGAAAGTGATGTGAGTTTCCAAATTATAACTTCAAATTTTTAATGTGCAGTAACACCAGTATTTTTTAATTTACTTCTGAAAAAACACACCTTAATTTAATTATTATTTCCAGTAAAGACAGAATAAAACAAACCCTGGAAGAGAACTTTTTATAAAGATCTAGGTTCAAACTAGAATTATCAGAAACAGATGTTCCAAACACTGCATAAGAAATCCATTTCTTTCTTAAGGAGTGCCTCCCACCCTTCCCAATACTTCAGAATCAAAGTGCATTTTTCCTCTCCATACACTTGCATGGATAAATTGCATTACAGAATTGTGATGCCTGACAGCAACCTTTCCAAACACCTTAGGAAGAGACTTTAGCTGCTAATGGCAAAAAGTGATCATTACTCATGAGTGGTTGGCTTTGACTTACACAGTGAAACTTTCAGTTTTAACAGTTTGGGAAAGACACACTATAGGCACCAGCAAGAAATGTCACCTTCTTTTAGTCTCTCCAACTCTGGAAGATGTTCAAATTGGTTTAACATTTGCAGCTGATGAAATCTAGTATTTTCATGAAAAAATCCACTCTGAAATTAAGTAGGCTCTTTTTATCTCAAAGAATCACTAACTACATAACTTTAGTAGCATCTTGGGGAAGGACCATAAGGAGAGACTAAAATGAAGTACAGATAGTGTTATAATTATAGCAGTGGGGCAGCCACAACAGCTGGATGGAAGCTATCAGTTCCTTGGCAATTAAGTGTAAAAGATAAGAGCAAGTGATTGAAAGAAAAAAGCAGAGAAAGTCTGTTTTTCTGCACATTTCCAC